AGAGAAGAGAGAGAGAGAGAGAGAGAGAGAGAGAGAAGCCACACTTTAGCCAACCAGTGGGGAAGTAGTGGCCTAATGGTTAGAGAGTCAGACTTGTAACCCAAGTCTCATACTGGCAGGAATTGTAGGTGGGGGGGAGTGAATGTACAGCGCTCTCTTCCACCTTCAATACCACGACTGAGGTGTCCTTGAGCAAGGTGCCGCAACAAAAAATGGCTGCCCACTGCTCCACGTGTGTGTTCACTGCTGTGTGTGTGCACTTTGGATGGGCTAAATGCAGAGCACTAATTCTGAGTATGGGTCACCATACTAGACCACATGTCACGTCACTTTCACTTTTTTTCCACTTTCAGAAACGCGTTCTGCCTTTAAATCATTTTGCACATTCAGTTTCAGTTTCACAGTGCTTCTCAATCCTGGTCCTGGAGGCCCCTGCAGTGCACATTTTGGATGCCGCCCTTATTTAATACAGATGATTAGTAAATTAGTAAAATTAGTAAAAGCCCTAAGATCTAAATTGGGTTTTCCAAATGAATTCAATACCTACATGGGCCAGAATCTATGAGATTCATTCACACACATTTATTTGCTGGCTTAATCATTGAAGTCAGTATTGTGTACCGCTTACAAGTCAACATTTTAGCAACCTTTAGAAAATGGCAAATTAAAAATATCAAGATGTGACATTGTCTATTGGTAGACCACTGACATTCAAACTAACTACAGGTCCTTCCCTAGCTTTTCTATCTCATCAAGGAAGAAATCCATGTCCTTGGTGGTCAGCTGAGGAGAAAGAACAACCATACGGAAGAAGTTGACACGTCCATCCATGGGCTGGTATCCCACCATCATTGTTCCACGCTTCATCATTCTCTCTTTGATGACTGGCGCCACCTGATGGCATACATTGAGCATGACAATAATTCAGTGCTCAATAATTAATTTCTCTGGCATTTTATTTGTCATTCTACATTAAACAATGCTGACCTTTGATAACCTTTCCTGGTAATCCGGACTGTTCTCCTTCCCTTTCAGACTGGGTGGAATGAACCAGAAGCAAACGTTCACAAAATGCCCCTATTAGAAAACACAAACCATATATAAATATATAAACATGCATTATATTTACGTAAACACAAGTACACTACTTCAGGTTTGCATACAGTGCAACACTGTACCTTACAGACCAACTTGAAATTCTCCCTTTTCTCCATTTCTTCAACTAAATACCTGGTGCAGACATAAATAATATATTATTAAAATGCACACACATATATATGTATATTTATTAATATATATATATAAGCATAAATAAATAAAATAATATATACAGTAACATTCAAAAGTTTGGGGTCAGTGAGTTTTTTATCTTTTATTTACAGTTTTTTTCAAATGCTAACATCCTTTTGTCCAATCTCTAGTCACATTTTCAAAACTCTAAACACAATTAGCACAACATCCATCTGTTGTGACCATACCATTAACACGATTCATGTTGTTTTCACACAATATGCAGTCAATTACCATGTTTCTTTTATCTTCTTTTCATACAAGCTTACCCAAAACCAAAATCATGGATGTTTTTAGTCTTATTTACAAATGCTTAAACACAGCATGACCTAATGTTCCGAACCTTAAATATAGTATAAAGCTTCTACCTCTGCAACAACAGCAGCTCAAAGGTATTGAAAAAAATCTCTCTGTATAAAATATTCTAACGACTGATAAGCATTTTTAAGTAACAGATCACTGAAATATTTAGAAACAGCTGATTCCAGGCTCAGTTGGAGGAATAGTCTGATGTTGAAGCTCTTTCCATTACATCAACAACATAGAGTAAAAAAAGACCTCTTTGAAATGGTTTTGTGGATGCAGAACAACACAGCACTACAGAGAGAGAGAGAAATAATGCCTGGGAGAGGGAGAGGAATAGCTGTAGGAGGTAGAGAAGTAGATGGATCAGAAAAAAGGGAGAAGAGGTATAGGAGAGAAGTGAGAATGTGTGTTGGACGGTGCATTTTTATGTTTGTTTATTGGTTTGTTTTTTCCCCACATGTGGAACCTATGAAAGCTTATTTCTGCCTTGGAATATAAAGGGTAAGGATAATTGTGACTATCTCAGAATTCTAACTTTTTTCTTGCAATTGTGAATTGACAGTATCTCACAATTCGGATAAATTCTGAATTGCAAGACGTAAACGTGCAATTCCAATAATAGAAGTCCGAATTATGAGATATAAAGGTCATAGTTACTGTTTTTACTTTTTTTATTCTGTGACGGAAACAAGCTTGCATAGTAAGCAAAGGCCATGTATGCTGGAATTTTTGTTGATCACTGGCATCAGCTACCATGGGGGCACCATCCACATCCAACCCCCACCCACTGGAAAGCAATTTCAATCAAGGTTCCAATTGAGTTTCTGCATAGGGGACCCTATTTTTTTTCTATTGTACAGTCTATAAAGTAATGACTCATTCAGTTTTAGATAGTATGCTGCCAAGAATGAACACATTCAACATTTACAAATGTAAAATGGGTTTCAGTTGAAGATAAACTGAAGGCTAAATTACAAAAAAAACTATGGATTTTTATATTGTCATTATATGCAGGAAGAACTGAAACATGACAAGTAATGCAGTTTTTGTAAAGCCATCAACTGTTAGTATTTTGACAGTCACTGTGTTATGATTGACTATATGTTTCTGTTGGATAGAAACTAGTGCTAATGTTTTGACCGAATGACTCGATTTTGAATCGGGTTTGCTGTGTTTTGATAGAGTTAGTATATGTAGAAAAACATATTCAGCATTTTGAAATGTAGAGTTTGTATTTATTTAACTAAATGCGGTTTTGGCCAGAAAATTAACTATTTGGCTAATTGTGTGATGTAGGTGTGTTGCTGTGTTAAGAGTTTAGAAAAAGTACTTTAAGTATTGGTAAACACTTGTTAGAAATGAAAAGAAACTGTAATGTTACAAAAGATTAATATTTCAAATGAATGCTCATTTTCTTTTTTCTATTCATCAAAAATCCTGGAAAAGTGGATCACAGATGCCACAAAAATTCTAAGCAGCACAACTGTGTTCAACAAAATCAGCATATTAGAATGATTTCTGAAGGATCATGTGACATTGAAGACTAGAGTAATGATGCTGAAAATTCAGCTTTGCATCACAGGAATAAATTGCATTTTAAAATATATTCAAATAGAAAACAGTTATTTTAAATTGTAATAATATTTCACATATTATATATTTTTTAATCTTTTTTTTCTTTCAAAAACATTTAAAAAATCTCACCAATCCCTACATTTTTAACAATACTGTATACATTAATAATATATTGCAATGCGTTTAATGATATAAGTCAATAGTGTTTAAGAAAATGCAACATTAAAAAGATTGATAGTATTTTAATAAACAACATCATCTAACAGATGCATCAAATACCTTGCGAGGGCAAAGGTCTTATCCACTCGCTCTGAAAGCCCATGTGTTCCTATTGCTTTCCACATTAACCAGAGCTTCAAACAATCCACCTTGCGGCCACACTGGATAGATTTGTCTCCCGTGTCTAGACTTGTATCGTAGAACTTGTCTTGCTGGAATAAGTAGGTTGCGTTGGCACTGTGACAGTGCATTAGCAGATTCTACATATTGAGATGAGGAAAATCAAATTAGGAACAGTCAAGTGCACTTGTGGACAAGTCAATATAACACATTCATTTGACTAATGAGCAAAACACTGCATGAATAGACTTGCACGGGTTTAGAGGTAAAAGAAAAGATAGATGGATTGCTACATTCCATAAGCATTCCTACCGTGGTATCTCTAAACAAAATCACAGAGCACTGCAATCCCGCTAGAAGCATTTTGTGAGGGTTCCAAGTCACAGAGTTTGCTCTGAGTGTAAAAAAAAAGAATCATTAAATGATATAGTCAAAGATGGGCTACTTCTCTACCCAAAGCACATTAAATTCAGGGCTCATTCTGTAAGCCCACAGTACACAAGAGTTCAAACCTTTCTATTCCTGCAACCAGATGCTTGTGTTTTTTGGAAAACAGCACGCTTCCTCCCCAAGCGGCCTGTAAAGGAGAGAGATTCAGATTGTAACAGTTAGGAACGGGTGAAATTCTGCAAACAACTGGATACACTGAAAGTGGGGGCCACATGCATATAGACATGTTGCACAATGATGTTACATAAGGTAAACGTGCTGCACTTACATCAATGTGCATCCACATGCCGTTTCTTTCACTTATGTCAGCTATGTGGTTCAGAGGATCAAAGG